CAAAATGAAGCGAGTTTGTGCTTTAAACAAGAACAAATATCTGCCAATGAGGTCAGAAAAATAATCTTGTTTTCCCTTTGAATTAAGATAATTTTTCTGATTCGATTGATATTTGCTCTTGTTTTAAGCAAAAACGAACTTCATTTTGATACATTTGTCAGTAAACAAGACTTTATATCTTCAGTCATTCTTCTTCTCCAGTAATTGTGTCTTGATTTAAGAATGTTTAGATATTTGTGCTGAAAAACAAGACAGAAACACTGAGGAAGAACATCATTCAGTTTATGAACACGGAGCACTTTCAGCATTATTATATCACACACACACACACACACACACACACACACACACACACACACACACACACACACACACACACACACACGAAGAGTCTCGTCTAAAGTGTTTGTGGTGTTAGAGACTCGAGCTTTTTCTAGTTCAGCGGTTTGTTCAGCTGCTGTAACTGAATAACGTGTGAGTGAGAGATAAAACGGGAGGAACACACACACACACACACACACACATTGTTAAAAGCGCTATATAAATGAAGATGACTTGACACACATACACACTCTCTCACAAACACAAACACACTCTCTCTCACACAAACACACTCACACGTACACACACACACACACAGATTAAACATGTCGCTGTGTGTGAAACTCCAGCTGTTCATGTTAGTTCACTCTGCATTAACTAATGTCAACAAATACAACCTTTGATTTTAATAATGTATGATAAATACGTACATAATAAATGTTGAAATTATTATCAACTAAGATTAATAAATGCTGTAGAAGTGTTCATTCTCAGTTCATGTTCACTAATGAACCGTAAAGTGTTAGACGGGTTCACTCCTCACGAGATCACGCTGTGAACTACATCATGTCTAATCATCAAACTGAACAGCTAATAATCCTCATAACAGCTGATAATAATCATAACTCGAGCAGATATTCATCGCTGAACTCCATAACTTGGAAACTACTCTGTAATTTCTGTTTTAATTTTATAAGCCTAACCAGGGACAGGGGTTGCAAATTAGTCATGGCTAGAAACCTGTATGCGTGGCATCTACTTTGTATTCTTTATAAAGCAATGTTTTATGCATTTGTCCCTGTCAAATAAACATTAAATAAATAAATAAATAACCAGCGTCCGTCGCAGGAATGAAGCCGTTAAACGTGACCTTTGACCTCTGGACCTGCATTACACGGATCATGTTCTAGTAAACACAGATTGTAGGACGGAACCGAAACTGTTTATTGAAAACATGTAAAGAACATTTAATCAAAACGGGTCTGGACTAAATATATTAACGTTTCAACGATCAATGAGCTGCTCAAAATATGTTTTTCATATAAGAAATATTACTGAAGTGATTTTGTGCTTAAAACAAGAGCAAATCTCTGCTAATGGAGTCAGAAACATTAACTTCATTCATTTGTTCTGAGTCTGACTCCATTGGCAGAGATTTGCTCTCGTTTTCAGCAAAAACTCACTGCATTTTAATACATTTTTCATTAATATCTTCAGTCATTCTTCCAGTTATTGTTTGGATATCTGTGCCGGAAAGCGAGACAGAAACACTGAGGAAGAGCATTATTGCAGTGAACAATTCATATTAATTTCATATCATTTGTATAAATATCATAATAGATGTTGTATGATCCATGTCACTTAGACTTGAATATCTCAGTGCTTTCGGTCTGAACGGATGAATAAAACGATTGGAAATGCATAAACATTAGAAGAGCGCATGAGATCAGAAGCTCCTGCAATGGTTATAAAGGTCCTGAACGCCTGATGATGACAGCGCTGAATACAAGAGAAGAGTTCAGTTCATAATCATAATCATCTGTTGGGTTTGACGGTGAACTACAGGTGTTTAGGATGCTGGTCTAAATGTGGCTGATCTGAGCTTCCTCTCTCTCTCACACACACACACACACACACACACATACACACACAACGTTTGTTTTGCTATACTTGTGAGGACTTTCTATAGGCATAATGGTTTTTATACTGGATAAACTATATATTCTATTCCCCTACAGCTACACTAACCCTACACACACACACACACACAGCTCATCTAAGGGTTCATCAGCTTCTGCTCTTTAACCCGGTAAGACTCAAACCTCATGATGTGAAACTGTGAAAACAGAATTAGTGAACAGAATTAGTGAACAGAATTACTGAACAGAATTACTGAACAGAATTAGTGAACAGAATTAGTGAACAGAATTACTGAACAGAATTACTGAGAACAGAACTCCTGAACAGAATTAGTGAACAGAATTAGTGAACAGAATTAGTGAACAGAATTAGTGAACAGAATTAGTGAACAGAATTAGTGAACAGAACTCCTGAAGAGAACTAGTGAACAGAATTAGTGAACAGAACTCCTGAACAGAACTAGTGAACAGAACTAGTGAACAGAATTAGTGAACAGAATTAGTGAACAGAATTAGTGAACAGAATTAGTGAACAGAACTCCTGAACAGAATTAGTGAACAGAATTAGTGAACAGAATTAGTGAACAGAACTCCTGAAGAGAACTAGTGAACAGAATTAGTGAACAGAACTCCTGAACAGAACTAGTGAACAGAACTAGTGAACAGAATTAGTGAACAGAATTAGTGAACAGAACTCCTGAAGAGAACTAGTGAACAGAATTAGTGAACAGAATTAGTGAACAGAACTCCTGAACAGAATTAGTGAACAGAACTAGTGAACAGAATTAGTGAACAGAACTCCTGAAGAGAACTAGTGAACAGAATTAGTGAACAGAACTCCTGAACAGAATTAGTGAACAGAACTAGTGAACAGAATTAGTGAACAGAACTCCTGAAGAGAACTAGTGAACAGAATTAGTGAACAGAACTCCTGAACAGAATTAGTGAACAGAACTAGTGAACAGAATTAGTGAACAGAACTCCTGAAGAGAACTAGTGAACAGAATTAGTGAACAGAACTCCTGAACAGAATTAGTGAACAGAACTAGTGAACAGAATTAGTGAACAGAATTAGTGAACAGAACTCCTGAAGAGAACTAGTGAACAGAATTAGTGAACAGAATTAGTGAACAGAACTCCTGAAGAGAACTAGTGAACAGAATTAGTGAACAGAACTCCTGAACAGAACTAGTGAACAGAATTAGTGAATAGAATTAGTGAACAGAACTCCTGAACAGAACTAGTGAACAGAATTAGTGAACAGAATTAGTGAACAGAACTAGTGAACAGAACTAGCAGAACTCGTGAACAGAATTAGTGAATAGAGCTCGTGAACAGAACTCTGGGTAACTCAGTTCTCCAGCTCTAGTGATCGCAGTGTTTCGCCGCTCGACGGTCAGTCGTTATTATCCAGAAAACACTGTAGAACACTTTCAATCTCTCAGACTTTACAGATACGCTTCTATAGTCAATGTCTAATGTCAATTCTTTTTTTTTTTTTTTTTTTTTGACAGGGACAATGCAAACAAACATAGTGTCAAAACCAAGCATGTCACTGATGTGTTGCATATAAAGTTTATAGCTATTGCTAATTTTCAAGTCCTGTCCCTGGATGTCTAATGTCAATATAATCAATAATATGTCAATAGAATCAGTTTTCTTCAGTGGGAATTGATCATAAAAAAGCATATATATTTCGATAGCCACTGTTACTTTTTAAATTAAATGTTATAATTCTTGAAAACAAATTCATAAAATGTTACATTTATTGTAACTGGGTTTGTGGCGTTACAGTTACACTGAAGTAAAGGCATATCCTGTCAATCAATCAATCTTTAATCAAATTCGTTGCATGATTAACATAATTAATTCCACATCAACATTTGCAGAGAAAAACAACCGAACAATTTTACATAAAAGTGAAAGTTTTACATTTTGACTTTGACACTGATGTTTTGTCAGGCACTTGTGTGTGTAATCGAGTGTTACTGAAGACAAACTGAATACTTTATTTAACTCTTATTCTATGAGCTTCTCTATTCGTCACGCGGGACTGGAGAATGTGTTCTTATATTCCTGCAATAAACATCAACCGCGCGTTTACATCAGTTCTAGACTTCAGATTAAAGAGTAAATGATGAGCGGACGGGCGACGGGTTAGTGAGAATGATTAACTTTAAAGAAAAATAATATTTGATGATTTTTCTTAATATGATCAAACTAGTCGACGGCTACTCAAACACTAAAAAATTAGAAAATAGAATGTAAATATTTATACATAAGATTTGAATATTAATAATGTCTTGATAAAAATATAAACTACGGTTCAAAAGTTTGGGGTAAGATTAATTTTTCTTTACTTTTATTCGCATTAAATCTACATTTATAATGTTACAAAAGATTATATTTCAAATATATTCTGTTATTTTGAGCTTTCTATTCATCAAAGAATCATGAAGAATAAAATGTATCAGTTTCCACAAAAATATGAAACTGTTTTCAACACTGTTAATACAAATTATAAATGTTTTGTTTTATTTGAAATAGAATCTTTTGTAACATTATAAATGTCTTTACTGACACTGAAGACTGGAGTAATGATGGAAACTCAGCTTTGATCACAGGAATAAATTACACTTTACTGTATATTCACATAGAGAACAGATGATTTACATTATAATCATATTTCACAGTTTTTACTGTATTTTTGATCAAATAAACGCAGCTTTGGTGAGAAGATCTTTCTGGTGAGACTCTTTCACAAAAATTATAATATCTTAATTAATCCACACATACACTACCGTTCAAAAGTTTGGGGTCGGTACGATTTTAAATACTTTTAAAAGAATTCTCTTCTGCTAACCATGGCTACGCTTATTTGATTAAAAATACAACAAAAATCAGTTATAGTATTAAATATTACTCCAGTGTAAATCATCTGTTTTCTATGTGAATATACAGTAAAGTGTAATTTATTCCTGTGATCAAAGCTGAGTTTCCAGCATCATTACTCCAGTCTTCAGTGTCACATGATCCTTCAGAAATCACTCTAATATGATGATCTGATGCTCAAGAAACATTTATTATTATTATCAATGTTGAAACAGTTGTTGGTCTGTCAGTTGTACAGGTTTTTTTTTGTTTTTTTAGGATTCTTTGATGAATAGGGTTATAGGGTTAGAATCTTTTGTAACATTATAAATGTCTTTACTGTCACTTTCGATCAAATTAATTATTCCTTGATAAATAAAAGTATTGATTTCTTTCCTCCAAAAAATAAAAATAAAATTCTCACTGACCCCAAACTTTTGAACGGTAGTGTATATGAATGCGTGTGTGTGTGTGTGTGATCCGCATCTGTCAGGTGTGACACATTTGAGTTCACAGAATGAAGTCTGGAAAGGGTAAATTCAGCATTTCGTGTGTAAGTTATTGAATCTGACGCGCGTTCCTTGAAATGATGTTTTTGAGCAGTATTTTCCAGCGCTCGTCATCATCATCATCATCATCATCATCATCACTGCAGTGTTGAAGAGAAACTCGAGTCGCCCACTGTCCAACACTTTCCACAACATCAGCAGCGGCTGAACAAACACAGCAAACACGCGTTCACAGAGAGCAGGAACGCTCTCGAGTCGAGGACAAGCGTTCCTCCAGTGACGGTAAAACAGCGTTCATTAGGCCTTTAATAACGCGCTCAAAGCGTTATAACACGACACATCACTCATACAGCAGTCACGGGGCGCTTTCTGAAACAGTTCAGGTTTTAAATAGTGTTACTTGTTTTAGAACGTTCAAAAGTAACATTCTCAGAATGATTGAGGAATGATACAATGTAACGTTCACATTACCAAGAAAAACATTTAGAAGATTCAGAATTAACGTTTTTATAGTTGGATGTTCGTTTAACGTTTTTTAAACGCTGTTACATGTTTTATTCAGAGAGCGTTCAAAAGTAACGCTTTCATAGGAATTATACAATGGAATGTTCCCTAACGTTCACATAACCAATAAAAAAACATTTAATAAACTGGACATTTAGAAGATTCAGAAATAACGTTTTCATAAAGTTCTTAGAATATATTTTAGTTTGCTGGGAAGCAACTTGTGAATGAAGTTGAATTATGAATTGAAGATTCTTGTCGATATTGAAGATTTAAGAGCTCTGATATAATCTTGAGTTATGCAGCAATGTTTGAAGATAATAAATTGAAACGGAATAGAATAGAATAAAGATATGTAAACACAGATGTGTGTTGCAGAGATCCTCCGAGAACACAGATCAGCGACTGCAGTGTTTACAGCGGCTCTCAGTTCGTGGAAAACAACAGTAATTCAGCCGTCGCTCAGGAAGTGTGTGTGTGTGTGTGTGTGTGTGTGCGCGATATCACAGCAGAAGAAGAAGCACGAGTGGAAAGACTGAATCCTGCAGATTACAGCTCGACATTAGAGATCACACACACACACTTCATCTGAAGCTGTGTATGAGCTCAGCGCGCGCTCACACACACACACACACACACACACACACACACACTGAAGATGTTTGAAGAAGTTTGTTCTGATGTTTAACGTTTCTGATCTGCACATAATCTGGGTAATATTACAGCTATGACATTAATAGTCAAACCCACAGAGCCAGAGTCGAGGATCTGCATATTTCCGTGATGTTAGTCAGGTCTCCTTCATAACTGCAGATGATTGACAGATTCAGCTTTAACAGGAGATTACAGTGACAGAGATGGTTTGGCTTTATTTGATTTGCTGGATTATATAAATATGAGTTTGTTCAGTAAATACTGGGAAAATTATGATTAACTGAATTGATTAAAAAACTTGTAAAAAAAAATTTCAATCCTTTCATTTGTCAATCTTTTGTAACGTTTGTCAATGTTAGTTAATACACACGATCATGTTAGTTCAGGTCCACAAACACCTTTGATTTGACAAATGTAATAATAACATTAACCATAATTAATAAACGCTGTAGAAGTTTTGTTCATGTTACTGTACTTCATAACTGTATTTGATCTTTATAACCAGAGTTTGGCCTTTAGTCTCTTACAATCACATGTAAAGAATAATTCCTGCTTGATATATATATATCAATATATACATATATGTGGCGTGTGTGTGAGGCGTACATGTGAAGACACGAGACGCAGTGAAGGATAACACACACACACACTCGAAGCGTTCAGTCCTGACACACACACACACACACACACACACACACACACACACACACACACGATGCTTTACAGTCCGAGAGGTTAAAGGTCAAACGCTGGAGTCCTGCAGATCCAGTTCTCTGAGGATCAGGAGTGTTAGACAGGAGGAGAGAAACCTTGCGAAAGATGGCGCCTTCTCTCGACACACACACACACACACACACACACACACACACACACACACACACACCGTTACCTGACACAGGTGCCATCGACAGCAGGACGATCACGGTGGACACCGGCCTCGACACCATCATGATCCGCCTCGGGCCTCGAGTCTCTGAGGATCTACTGGATCTGTGTGACGGGCCGCTGAGGAGGCCGTCGAGTCGAGTGTGTGAGAGTGTGTGTGTGTGAGAGTGTGTTCTCTGAAGCTCAAGATCGAGATCTGCTCTCTGACAGGAAGAGGCTCCTCGAGCTCCACCTGTTCTTACAGACTCGTCCCACCAACCACTGAACACACACACACACACACACACACACACACACACACACACACACACACACACACGGCCTACTTACTCTCGACAGAACCCGAGCGCACGAGAACACGAGTGTTTAACAGCAGGAGTGAAATCACACCAGAAACATGACGGACGTGTTATTATTACAACACCGAGAAAATATTACACTTTATTCTAAATTACTTTTCATATCTTATAGTTTCATTTTAGTTAAAGTAGTACTGGAATAACATGAAATATAGAAGAACTTAAACTTTTTATATTTGAGCTATATTTGCCAAACTTTAATTTAGTTTAACTCGGTGTAATATAACTAAAACTGAAATAAAAATGAATAAAAATAGTGTCAAAATCACACAAAAAACAGCAAAAACTAATAAAAATGTCCAAATATGCACCAAAATTGGTTTGTTTTGGCATTTTTATTCCTTTTAAAAAAGTGTCTATAAAGTTTATTTTTCTTTTTTTCGTGTAAAGAAAGATAGTTTCATTTTTATTATAATTTTTTTCCACTTTTAGTTTCAGTTTAGAACATCTAGTTAAACTAAATGAAAATAAGGCATCTCTCTTTGGCCACTGGCTGAAATAAAATACGTTTAAGATTTTTATATTTTATTTTATTTCAGTTAACGATTTTATTTAACAAAAAATAAGTATCAAATCTTTTATTAGTTTTGTAGATGTAATGAAGTAAAGACAGAGTCTGTGAGATCAGATCTTTATTTCACGGCACACGGGATTATTACAGTCACACACTCATATAAATATACATCCGCATCTGAAATATAATCACTCCAGTTAATGCCGTTTGACTGAACGTCTGCGGTTTTTAATTTGGATTATAAAATATAGCAAAAATGTAAATATAGTAAAATGAAAATGAGCCTAATTGCAAAAAACATCTTGTGACATTGATATTTCATACAACAGAGGTATTTCAATAAAAAAGTTCCACTGAATTTGCATTTTGTAAAAATCTGCAAATATTAAAATTAAAAGCATGTGCAAACTGCAAAAATTATTCGTAAGCATTTTATAAAATGCTTTAAAAAAATGAAGATTTCCACATCATGTTCCACTAATGATCTAGAGAAACGATCATCAGACACGTCTCACTCACACACACACATTCACAGACACACACAAACACACACACACACTACACTGCACTGCACACACACACTCACAGACTCACACACACACTACACTGCACTGCACACACACACACTCACAGACTCACAGACTCACACACACACACACACTACACTGCACTGCACACACACACTCACAGACTCACACACACACTACACTGCACTGCACACACACACACACACAGACTCACACACACACACATACACTCTCACAGACACACACACACTACACTGCACTGCACGCACACACACACACACACACACACACACACAATACTCTGCACTGCACACACACACAGCTGAAAGATTCAAACAGCATCAACCTGAGAGTCATTCATTAATCCGAGTCTCTTCGGAAATGATCTAATCCAGTTCAAGTTTACCGCGTGTCACTTCCTGTAGAAACACACACACACACACACACTGAGGTCATGTGATCAGATGACATTCAGCACAGTGTCTGTTTCTGACTGATAACAGCTGCACATACAATAATCATCATTCAATAATAATAACAATTATCATTTGGCTACTCGTCTCGTGTGTGTGAGAGAGAGTGTGTGTCAGTGTGTGTGTGTGTGTGTGTGAGTGAGTGTGTGTGTCAGTGTGTTAGGGTGTGTGTGTGTGTGTGTGTGTGTGTGTGTGCGTGCAGTGCAGTGTAGTGTGTGTGTGTGTCTGTGTGTGTGTGTGTGTGAGTGAGTGTGTGTGTCAGTGTGTTAGGGTGTGTGTGTGTGTGTGTGTGTGTGTGTGTGTGTGTGTGTGTGCGTGCAGTGCAGTGTAGTGTGTGTGTGTGTCAGTGTGTGTGTGTGTGTGTGTGAGTGAGTGTGTGTGTCAGTGTGTTAGGGTGTGTGTGAGTGTGTTAGCGTGTGTGTGTTAGGGTGTGTGTGAGTGTGTTAGGGTGTGTGTGCGTGTGTGAGTGTGTTAGCGTGTGTGTGTGTGTGTGAGTGTGTTAGGGTGTGTGTGAGTGTGTTAGCGTGTGTGTGTTAGGGTGTGTGTGAGTGTGTTAGGGTGTGTGTGCGTGTGTGAGTGTGTGTGTGTGTGTGTGTGTGTGTGAGTGTGTTAGGGTGTGTGTGAGTGTGTTAGGGTGTGTGTGAGTGTGTTAGGGTGTGTGTGCGTGTGTGAGTGTGTTAGGGTGTGTGTGTGTGAGTGTGTTAGGGTGTGTGTGAGTGTGTTAGGGTGTGTGTGAGTGTGTG